ATCAGATATTTGATTAGGTACTTCAAAAGAATGATAAAGATGCCTATAAAACGCAGGTGTCCCTACTGTTAAAAACTTGAAATTTCACGTCGATAATTTTCAGATTTCGAAATAATGTAAGATCTTCTCAATATTGATTCGTCCTTCCTTCTGTCACAGAAAAAAATAGTGTATTATACACGGGAAAAATATTAGATTTTAGCTCACGGTTTTTTGTCTCCCTCCGCTACGCGTCGGGAGACAACACAACCTGGACCTAAAATCTACTACTTTTTTCCCTTGTATAATAAATAACTATTGTTATTTTGTTTATTGTTGTTCTGCAAATGATCAAAAAAGACGTATTATTATTATTATTATTATAATAAAACATTCGTGAAATTGGAATAAGCGCGATCGTGAAATGTAGTTGATTCATTTTATTTCGCTCTCTCAAGATATGAAAACAGACCTACAGAATTTTGCCATACTTACAGAGTGTTCTGTTCTTCCTAGACGGGCCTGGATTCTGATCTCGATTTCTATTTAGTTTTCATGGGTAATATAAGTGAAATATATCTACCAAGTATGAATAGATTATACATAGTGGTTCATAAATTATGACTAGATAAAAATTGTACCAAAATCGTGATAACGTTCTGTATCTCAGTATTAAAAGACACATCAATAAGGAATAATTAGGAAACATCTATCTACAGGTTACTCATGTACATTTTAGTATCTGAAATACCCTGTACGTACGAATAAATTTAATCAAAATAACCCTCACGTGATGAATACCTCAAGTTTTCATAAAAAAAATACTTACCATCTTGAAAAAACGACAACGTGTATGTCCAATGGCAAAAAAACTACAATGTTGCGTAACAAATCACAACACACACACAATCCTAACCTCACACACACACATACAATTGCATTATAATCACTAAACTGAAAGATACATTTTGATTTCTCACTCAATTATTATGGATACTAGTTCTTTTTTAAATCGACCGTTCACGACGAAATCTGGTATATGACTGATATTATTGTTGATTCACCCGATTCACCCTAATGACTAATCAGTTGTCTTCGTTTACCGGTAAATTTCCGAGCAAGTTTATCATCTATGACTAACAAGTGTTGATATAGAAAGTGGGTATAATGGGAAAGGTGAATAAGAATTAGGTTTAGCGGGTGACACGTTATACAGTACCCCCCCTGCCCCATGTAACTCTTTTATTGTTGACAGTAGAAAAAAAATTAAAAATATAAATTCACAGGGTTTTTTTTCCTTTTCGTAACACAGGAAACAGCAAAAATTGTATGAATTTCAAATAGAACGCCCTAAATGTATATTTCCTCATCACCATTGGAAAGAGCTTTCGAAGAGCTTTCCAAAAATACCGTACTATCAGTATACAGGTTGTTAGTGAAGAAGTGCGAAAAACTTCAGGGGGTGTTTAATTGTGATATTCTAGGAAATACAGTTCATAGAAACATCTGTCCTAACTTGCTTTGTTTTTGATATACAGGATGTTGAAGTTGGAAGTATTAATTGTTTTTATTTATAACGCCCCTGTATAAGCTTTCATGGTGCCAAAATTCCGAGCAAAATTCAGTATGGTTGGAGACTGAAAAAATCCCAAAAAGGAAACACAGAGGACAAGAAAGTTGATATTTCAATTGTTCAATTTAATTAACATATGGAAGCGGTGGAATTCTGGTGTACAATCAACTGGAATTCCTTGGATTTTCTCGGAATCCCTTGGATTTCCTTGGAATTCTTTGGATTTCCTTGTACTTCCTTGGATTTGTTTGTAATTCCTTGGAATTTCTTCGATTTAACTTATATTTCTTTGGAATTTCCTGGAATTCCTTGGGTGAAATGCGATATATTCCTGTTCTACAAGCAACTGGAATTTCTTGGAATTCCTTCGATTTCCTTGGAATTCTTTGAATTTCCTCGGAATTCTTTGGGTGGAGTGCGGTAAAATCATGGTGTACAAACAACTGGAATTCTTAGCAATTCCCTGGATTTCCTTGGAATGCTTTGGAATTCCTTGAAATGTCTTGGATTTCTGGATTTCCTTGGAATTTCTTGGAAGTCCTTGGAGTTTCTTGGAATTCCTTGTGTGAAGTGTGGCATAATTCTGGTGTACAAACAACTGGAGTTCCTCGAAATTCCTTGGAATCCCTTGGAATTCTTTGGAATTCCTTGAAATTCTTTGGAATTCCTTGAAATTCTTTGGAATTCCTCAGAATTCCTTGTGAAATTGAAGTTTGGTGTACACAATTTTGACCGCTGTTTACCCCTCGTATGGAAGTCAGAAAAACCAGTTGCGTATAATGATTTTAACCGACAATATCGATAAATTAACCCACTGTGACGCCACTGAAAATAGTATTCTGAATTAAATCACATTAAAAGAAGCTTCATGTTACATTCAACAAAACCACCAAGTTTCATTCAAATTGGTAAAAAGACATTTGAGTAATGATTACACGATTTTTCATGGAAATATTAATACCTCGATTATCACCCTGTACCTCGACAGGACACATGTTTATATACCCTTTATTTTCTGAAATATCACATGGAATGACCCCCTGAAGTTTGTCGTAGGTACTTACTCACTAACACCCTGTATTTATCTTCTGTGTTTCTCAATTTATGGGCAATCAAAGCTATATCAGAGTTTGATCGATTAGGTACTGAACGATTTTCGAAAGAACGTCATGACAATTATTGCATAAAATTTTTTTGGCAGTGACTCGGGCAGTGATCACTGAAAATCAATATTGTAGCTCCTCCGAGACTTCCTCTCCCTATAATTTCCTTTTCTGCGCTCCAAGAGATGAAAAAAATTGACAAGGCCTACTTTCGAAAATAATTCAAAAAATGGATTGAACTTTTTTTAGATTTGAATGCCTATATTTTGAGAAATACAGAATATGAATATTTTGGGTGCTGTATTTTTGGAAAAGCTCTCCGGAAGGGCTTTCCACTTGTGAGGAAATATATATAGGGTGATCTATTTAAAATTCATACACTGCTCCCTTCATATCTTCTCTAATAGTGAAAACGTATCTTGTGTTTCGACAAGGAGAATAAACCTTGTGAGTCTGTTTTTATTATTTTTCTTCTACTGTCAATTTCCATTTAGTTTTTATGGGTAGAATGAGTGAGATACCTATATCTTCCAGGGATGAATGCGAAATATACAAAGTGGTTCATAAATTATGACTAGATAAAGAATTGACAAAATCGAGATAACGTCCTGTACCTCAGTATTAAAAGACGCTAGATACATCAATAGGACGTGATTTATTGGAATCAAAGTGTCCTCTATCTACAGGTATCGCATGTACATTTAGGTCTGGAATGCTCTGTACGTATGAATAAATTGAATGAAAAATAACCATCGCGTCATAAATACCTCACAAGTTCATATAAAAAAAACACTCACCGTATTGAAAATAGGACAACGTGTATTGCCAATGCAAAAAACTTCGATGTTGGGTAACGAATCACCACACAAACACACACACACAATCATTACCTCACACATACACAATTGCATTATATATTCACTGAACTGCAAGACTGAAAACTGAACCGACCGAACACGACCGAACGCGATCAAATCTGGTGCGAGACTGTGAGACTGATATATGCTTGATTCACCCTTATGAGTTATGACTAATCAAGTTATCAGTTATGTCTTCTTCTAATGATAAATTTCCGAACAAGTTCTTTTATCTATTACTAATAAGTTTCGATATCGAAAGTGGGTATACTGGGGAAGGTGAAAAAAATAATGTATATAATATGTACAGGGTGGCTGGAATTCGAGCCTGATTATTGGGTTCTCGTAAACAGTAAGAGATACAGGGTCGGTTGAATTGTGGCAATTTTATACCTAACAAAATGCCGTGTCGAAACTTGGGAAATTCCGAATAGGTATTTTTGGAGATATACGAAATTTCGAAAAGCTTCGTATATCCATAACTACTTACGAAATATGAAATATTCTTGCAACTTGTTATCAAAATCTGTTTAGTCCCTCAGTTAGGTATGAAAAGCGAATCATTCCATCATTATACAGTGATGGGCGAAAGTGTGGAACAAAATTCAGGAACTTGAGTACCAACAGAGAATTCTTGTTAATGACTATCCATATCATGATAATCATGTTTTGTATATATAGGTTGTTGAGAATTTTCAACTATCTCGTCTACTCCCCAACATAATTAATATTTCATCTTCGGAACTATCAGAAGAACTGCTCGAACTTCTGGATCTGGAGAAAAGGACTTCAATAATACTTTAAATACATCATTTTCCATTTTACATTAGTTTTCGCCAATTCTGAGCTTTTAATTGAAAACAATCTGAATCCCCACCAAATCACGAGAATAAAGGAAATAACAGTTGTGATTGTCATGTCAAATAACTGCGTTTTTTTTTTCATCACTGATGACTCCAAAAAATAAATGAAAATGTGGTGCAAAAAAGAACATGCCTTATGCATTATGTTTTCGGTTTGTATTTGTCATTTTTCGTTTTATGTTTTGATCTGAACATGTATTCCTGTTAAAATGATAGGACTCCTTGATGCAGAACTCCTTGGGGATCCCGAATTTGATAATTTTGACTCATTGGCATATTTCTAGTATAGTTTGGGGAAATAACGTTCACGTAAAGTTTAATTTCTACGTTTATTACGTTAACGTTCATGGCAACACTTCAACTGTCTATGATCTTAGTTTTCGTGCAAAAAATGCCTAATATGATTTCATGAAAACTCTTCTCTCATTATGACCATAAAAACGCACGCCACTGTCGATAATGATGTTTGTCTCTGCAAAATTGATTATATCAGCCCAAATTTGGTAACAATCCCAGCTGAGATATAGAGGGGCCGCGTTTGAAGTAAGACACGCTGTATAATTATGTTCACTGATTCTGCGAACATAGAAAATATATATAAATATTGAATGTACCTTCTCTTCAGTCCAAAACAGGTGAAGTGGAGCAAGCAGTGAAAGATGCCATCGACATCGGCTACCGCCACATCGATTGCGCTTTCGTGTACGGCAACGAGAAAGAAGTGGGGGCAGCTCTTAAGGCCAAACTAGGCGATGGAACTGTCAAAAGAGAAGACCTCTTCATCACGAGCAAACTGTGGAACACATTCCACAGGCCCGATCTCGTGGAGGGAGCTTTGAGGGTTACTCTGGAGAATTTGGGATTAGATTATTTGGATTTGTATCTTATACATTGGCCCCAAGCGTACCAGGTAAAGTAATAAAATTCAATAAGGTCATCCAAGCTCTCTTTTTTCCATTGTCAGTTAATTTTGAATTAATCATATAAAATGATCCTCATTCGCAGGAAGATACTGAAATATTCCCCAAAGATGCAGCTGGCAACATAATATTTAGTAACGTGGACTATGTGGAAACCTGGAAAGCCATGGAAAAATGCTCAAAGAAAGGTCTTGCAAGGTCCATTGGGATCTCAAACTTCAATAAAAAACAAATAGAAAGAGTGCTGGAAATTGCAACCATCAAGCCAGCTATCAACCAGGTAAAGTTTCTATGATGGATACCTATCCTGCATGATAGCATATACAGGGTGGCATTGAAATAAGTGCAAATATTTCGAACACTGAGAAAGCTCAACGTGTACTATCGAATGGCACTAATAAAAAAAATTTAGGGATCGAAATAAAATTTGAGGTTAGGCCTCTTTTTCCGCCCAAAGTTCTATACTGTAGCAAATCTGACGTCACCTCTGTTCAAATTTCCATGCGGTAGGCACAATCACGCGAAGTTCAATCATTTAAATTCGAAGAATTAGAAAAAATCTAATATCATGGGAATATTCCTCAGACCATAGATTAATATCGTTAATTAATCTATGCTCAGACTGTATCATATTAATGTGCGTAATATGTGCACTTATTTCAAAAATACCTTGTTTATGTAAAATAACAGTATTTCGGGAAATTGTATCCAAATAGATGGGGAGCACGCCAGAAGAAAAAAAATCTACAGATTCTCTCCTTAATCTGATAGAAATTACAAATTTAAGAGTAGTGGACAAATGGGGGCGTTTTGAGCTATCTCTCTTATACAGTGTCACGTGACTCCGAGCGAGTAGGCCAATTCTCATATTTTTTTAAGCAAAACTCAACGCACAAATCAAATTATAAAATGAATTATTATTAAAAGTTTTTCCCGTATGATGCCAACTTTCTGAATGACACTGTATACCTACACATTCTCTTAGACCCGATGTAACGAACAAAAATCTTGTGTTTCACTCTTGCTTTTGTTGTATTTCAGGTTGAATGCCACCCGTATCTGAACCAAAGAAGGCTCATCGACTTCTGTCGTTCCAAGGGTATCGCCATCACCGGATACAGTCCTCTGGGATCCCCAGACAGACCTTGGGCTACGGCAGATGAACCTCAGCTCATGGATGACCCCAAGTTGAAACAAGTTGCCACCAAATACGGCAAAAGTCCAGCACAAATTTTGTTGAGGTAAACTGAAACTGAATAACTTGTGCTAAAAAATCTGATGATTATTCCATGACTGCAAATTTATCGAGTTTTCGGAGATATTTTTGAAACTAATGAGTAATATGGTGCCCAATTTCGGATATGATACTCTTATTTAAACTACTTAAATGATTTTAATTGTAAACTACCAACTCTGACTTTAGTAATTAGTAACACGTCTATACAGGGTGTCTCAAAAAAACCTAACCCCCTTTCTAGGGTTGGTAGAAAATTGCAAAATAAGTTGGGTTTGCTCAGTGAAAAAATGTCGTAACGGCATCCGTTTTCATGATACAAGGTGTTGAAAAAATTATTTTTTTACACAGTTTTTACGATTATTCCGAAACTACTGGCAACATTGTAATGGCATTTTGTATGGATGTTCCTTGAAATCTGACACATCGCATGAATTCGTTTTAATATCTGACTCTCATAGAGGGCGCTAGTTACACGGTTCGTACCTAGTAGTTTTGAACATAACTTTTTTGAGGCTAGATTTTTCAATCCGAATATGATATGAACTTGAACATCATTCCATTTTACACCAAAAAGGTACTCCAGGTGAAACTCGATACTATGTTCCGTTTTCGGAATATTTCGATTTGAAAATAATGGAGTAGTATAATGATGCTGGTATAAAATGAATTGAGTTCAATTACCTATTTATTCAGGTTCGAAAACAATAAAATTATTCTTGTGCTGAAGTTATTGATGGAACAAAGAAACATAAGTAAAAAATTAAGAGATATTTGACTAGAAACATGAAATATTCTACGTGAATTTACCTATGTAGCATAGACTTTCTGCTCAATATACAACAAAACTGTGTAATCCATGATGTTCTTAGTCAAATCTGTTTCGATGTTATTCTTGTGATTCATTGTTAAATCAATGAGTTTTGCATCAGAAATGTATTGTTGTTTACGGTTTTCAATAAATAGGTGATAATTTTTCATAATACTCACTCTAATACATAGCTTTATACCAGCAACAGTTACCACTTCATCATTTTCAAATCCAATATTCCGAAAACGGAACATAGTATCGAGTTTCACCAAGAGTACCTTTCTGGTGTGAAATTGAATGATGTTCAAGTTAACATCAAATTTGGATTGAAAAATATAACCTCAAAAAAACTACTCGGTACGAACCGTGTAACTAGCGCCCTCTATGACAGTCAGATATAAAAACAAATGCATGCAATGTGTCAGATTCCAAGAAACATTCATACAAAATTTCATCACAACGTTGCCAGTAGTTTCAACATAATCGTGAAAAATGTGTAAAAAAAATTGTTTCAACACCTTGTATCTTGAAAACGGATGGCGTTACGATATTTTTTACTGAGCAAACCCAACTTATTTTGCAATGTTGTACCTACCCTAGCAAGGGGGTTAGGTTTTTTTGAAACACCCTGTATAACCATCCTACCTCCCTATATATTATGTAGAATGTTTATTTTTCATATTTTGTTTCTCATTTTTAGGTACCAGATCGAGAGAGGAGTGGTCACAATTCCAAAATCCATTACAAAATCTAGGATTCAACAGAATTTCGACATTTTTGATTTTTCACTGTCTAAAGAAGACATCGCCTATTTAGATACCTTCGATTGTAATGGGCGTTTTGTCCCAATGACAGCGTGAGTATTTTTTACCACTTGGGTATAAACAACAGAATTCAATTGGTTTCTTTCATTTCAGATCTTTGGACCATCCTGATCATCCATTCAAGAATGACGAGTTTTGAATAATGTTTAACATCAAAATCATTAATAAAATACGTATTCCAAAATATGATTCCTTTTTCATTTCATTGGCTTAATGTCTCCCATGCTTCACTTGAACTGGATTGAGTATTTGAACTATAACATAATATGAAGTTTGCTGATGTTCCTCTGGATCTACCTCTATACTAGCTCCAATTTTTCATTTCATCTTATACAGGGTGTCCGGAGATGAAACCGACAAAACTCATGGGGTTATAGGGACTGTCAATATGATTGCAAAATGCCATAAACGAATGTCCAAAACGGCTTCGTTACTGAGATACAGAGTGATTTGTGGATTTTGACAAAAAATTCAATCCGCCATATAAAATACAGGGATTAGCCGATTGGATTCAAATTTGGTACACGAATTACACTGAAAAGCGTCAACAAGTAGCCCTTTGATCGAAACCAATATCAGGACCGGAATAATATTTTTCCCCTATATGTTGAGTTATTGTTAGGATAACTCACCCTGTATCATAATAACCAAAAATGTCAACTCAGATTCGCAATCTACGGTGAAAATTGTATAGGAATTTGTTCAAAAATCTCCTGGCACCATCTTAGTTATTCCGTAATTAATTATTATTTTGATTTTTTTCATCGAAAAATCAATCATTGTCGGATAAAGTACGTATATTTACGAAACCATGACATGAATGTCGTTATTTTCTTCGATCAGTTCATGAATCGGAGTAAAATGAAATATTCTCATAACCCGAAAAACTGAAGAATAAATTCGTATGAGGATTGGAATGAGTGTTTTGTTTGGTCATGTGAGCTGAACTAGTACATCAATAGTTATCAATAATCTGATCGTAGATTCGGAATCTAAAAAAATCGTATAAGAACCTGTTAAAGAAGAATTACAGTGAAGTTTTCGTAAATTATATTCGCTCACTAATGAAATTGAATTTATGAGAATACTACACAACGAACAATAACTGTTTGTAATGAACATAACAAAAGCAACGAATTCGTGAAAAAGTTTCACTACCCAGTATTACAAAACATTTTCGAAGTAGAGCCCTCCAACATCAATACATTTTTGAGAGCGTGCTATTAGATGATTCACTGACTTGCGAATTATTTGAGGGTTATTTCTAACACTAACACATGCAGCAGTAATTTTCCATAAAAAAATTCTTGATTATGAACTTCTTACTTTAAATGACCTCATAAAAAATAATCTAGATGAGTTAGATCAGGGGATAGCGGTGGCCAATTTACTGAACCTCCACGGCCAATCCATCTATTGGGGTAATTGGCATCGAGATGGTTTCTAACTGGAACTGGAACGTGAGGTCTAGCACCATCATGCTGAAACCATATACCTCAGGTATTTACACCTTGCAATAGATCCGGTCAAGAATTGACCAGGAAATTTAGGTAAACATCACCAGTTAAAGCCCAAACACAAATAGAATATCTGGGAATTCCTCATAAGTGAAATGAAACGGCATCATAAGCACACTCTCAGAACTATAGTTTGATCCTAAAAACACTGGAATAATGAATGAACACCAATAAAACAAACGCTGATGACAGCTGAACAATGGTTTTCCATAATGAAATTCTGAATTTGACACAAGGTAAAGCCCCCGTCATTCCTTGCTCGCACAAGACTCTCGAAGACTTCTGAGGGTTGCTCGTAAGGGGGCAACCGAATGACGGATAGAACAATTTCAGAACAACAATTTAATTTTACTACGATTCACGGACTGATTGAAGAAAATAACGATATTCATGTCATGGTTTCATTAATATTTATTATATTACCAATTTTGATAGTACTTTTTCCGACAATTATTGAATTTTGAAAGAAAAAAATTAAAATAATAATTAATTACGGAATAACTAAGATAGTGCCAAGAGATTTTTCAACAAATTCCTATACAATTTTTACCGTAGATGTCGAATCTGAGTTGAAATTTCTTGTTATTATTATACAGGGTGAGTTATTCTCACAATAACTGAACATAGGGGAAAAATATCATTCCGGTCCTGATATTGGTTTCGATCAAAGGGCTACTTGTTGATGCTTTTCAGTGTAATCCGTGTACCAAATTTGAATCTAGTCGGTTAATCCCTGTATTTGATATGGCGGATTGAATTTTTTGTCAAAATCCACAAATCACTCTGTATGTCAATAACGAAGCGGTTTTGGACATTGGTTTATGGCATTTTGCAATCATATTGACAGTCCCTATAACCCCACAAGTCTTGTCGGTTTTATCTCCGGACACCCTGTAGAATTCTCTTTAATAGAAACCTTTTAGATCTCCCTTGAAACATGGTGTGGCATATACCAAGGGCTCTTCAATATTTTTATAACATTCTGAAAATAATTTTCTGAAGATAATTGTATTTGAATAAGCTTTTGGTGTACCCTTTAAAAAAAAATTCCAGTCGTTCTGAGCTATGCGCGTATCTACAGTACATATTTTTTTGATATTTTTTCAATTTTTTTGTGCTTACCTATAGCTACTGTTATGTACTCACACCTATTCATTCTCTCAGTATGTTTTGTTGTTTCACGTATTAAAAATGTCAAACCAATTGGTCAAGCCGTTTATTAGTTGACGTACCTACTCACAGCAGCGCCACCTTCCGCGTCCAAATAAATTTTGATATCATCCAGGAAACCATCGAAATATCCATATCAAATTTCAGCCGTTTAGAAGTTACTACCCGTTGATCTATTACCCGTTATCCCGTAGAAATGAAGCATTTTCCTGCGGTAAAAAGTCACCTATATTCATCAGGGATTATGTCGGCTTCTAATGGTTGAAGAATTTTCCGAATCGGTATTGTAGTTTTGGAGCCTATTCAATACAAACAAAGTATACCTAGAACATCCTCAGATGCATTTATTGTTAAAATAAAAATTTCAGATTCCTGAGGAACCGTCATTTATCTTTCAGATTTTGGGTAATTGGCTCATACGAAAAGTAAAACAACATGACTATAATTTGTGGAACAAAGAATTTATTCGCTAATTGAATCAGGATAAGATGTTCAGATAAAATTGCTAACTTTAATATTCATCATGTTCAAATGGGTGGTGTGGATGACCTGATGCTCTGTGAAAAAAAAATTAGTTTAGATACGAATCGAACCACAGAGTGATAGTCGAGTTATAATACTCACTCTACGAACTGGCAAACCCTTCCATTGCAGTTGAAAGTGTCCATAATAGCTACATCTTCAGTACTCAACTCGAAGTCGAACACATTGATGTTCTGAACAATTCTTGCCCGGTTAACTGACTTGGGTATGACTACTACTCCCAACTGGATCAAATACCTATAAAATATAGAAAAACCATATTCATCCCAGAGATTCTCATCATATCACCTATTTCAACTATACTCCATTTTAATTTTTTGTGTGAGATATTGGGTGAAGTGAAAGTTCAGCTAATGGATAACTGCATTGTCTGCTAAATATGGAGAAAAAATCTAGTGAGCTCTGTAGTATCAGGTCTGCTCAAGCAAGATTACAGATTTCTGTGGCCGATACGCCTGCTCTCTGCAGTCTCGGACGTCGGAATAGTTTGTTCAGTGAGTTATGTGAGTTCAGTATCACGACATAGTAACGGGTCACTCAATCATTCAAAAATTCAAAAAATCATTTCTTCTCAACTTGGATGCTACCGACACTACAATAGTCCCCAATTTCGTAACGTTCAACAGCTAAATTGAATAAGAGGTAGAATCAGTATAGTATCGATTATTAGCTTTCGTTCAGGGATCTGGTTATCTTACTCTTGTGATGAGTCTGTAACACTCAGTATCAAATATATCCACTCATGTCGCAAAGAAATATCACTTGAAAATCCATGAATTGAGACGGTTTCACATTCCCTGGTAGGCACAATTGAGAGACAGGGTTTGTAACAAATAATCAATCAGAATAAACTACTATAATACTGCGGAAGCACAACACAAAACTTTATCTATGAACGAAAGGAATATTAGAACAATGAGAATTGAAAAAGAAAGATCTTTTAGTAAGAATACAATACAAGTCATGATGGCACGACAGCTCTTGACACTGACATAACTTACATAGCCACAAATTTTGACAATCTATAAAAAAGTGAAGATTATTTCGCCCGATACGGTAACATCCTCTGGTGTTTATACACTCAACTGAGCATAGAGCAGACCAGTAGTTACAGCTCAATAGATTTTTTTCTCCACATTTAGCAGACAATGATTGATTTTTCGAATTGGAGGAAATGGGATTTGATACAATTTGGAGACGCAAATAAGTGTAGCGTCAAAGTGACGGGAAGAAATGGACCCTGGACTTCCTCTTTTCCTCTCGGAAATGTATAGATAGGGCAAAATATCACTAGTACTTCATATAACGTTTTTCCTAAAATCCTACGTCACCAAGTTACGGGCCCTATTTTTTTCACTTTATTTCAGCATATTTTGTATTATCCCTGTTATAGATGTTATTGAATTACCCTTATCATAATTATTTCTGCTGTGAAAATTTTTCATTGCTATAATAATGATGGACGATCGGGTTTTATGTCGTCGAGTAAATGTGGATTTTTATCAGAAATCGTTGCTCTGATCGATTTTCCTCAGTCCAGGTAACTTTGTTTTGTTAAGAAATATTGAAAACTATCTATCATTCCAAAGTTTTGGGGTGTGGACAATCGAGGGGTGCCCGTTCCTGACTTTGTAGCAGAACAAATTCTGCCTCCAGTGACTCCTGCTTGAAATGTCATTGAAGGAATCAATTTGTTTCGTCAAACACCAAAAATTGAATGACGAATATTCATACTATGAAAGTTATGAAAGAAGAACATTTTTCATTCTGTAACCTCGAGGGCCCGTAACTTGGTATAAAGAAGGATCTTAGGAGAACAAGTTATATGAAGTACTGGTTATATTTTCACCCCATCTATACATTCCCGAGAGGAAAAAAGGAAACCCAGGGACACCGTGTATATATATAGGTATGTGTAGATTGTGTTTTGGCTGTAGTATTATAGTAACCTACCTCAAGATAATTTGTGCACTTGATTTGTTGTATTTTGTCGCTAAAGCTTTGATTTTTGGTTCCTCGGTGAGAATTGGATCGCCAGGTTGTGCCCATGGTCTATCAGGGGATCCTAGGGGGCTGTACGCTGTAATAACAATACCTTTAGATTTACAGAAAGCTATCAGTTTCTTCTGGTTCAGATACGGATGGCATTCAACCTGCAATGAATTTTTGCATTAGTTTTTTGTGTTTCCAATATTCTTTATTTTGGTAGTTGAAAAGGGTTTTAAAAAATATAGAACTCATTAGTCGTCTATCCTGAATGTTTTCTGAAAGCGATGTTTAATCACCCTCTACTTACCTGGTTTGTGGCAGGAACGATAGTTCCATTATCGATTATTCTCTCAATTTGTCTTTTGTTGAAGTTAGAGACACCTATGGATCTTGTTAAACCAAGTTTTTGGAGCCTCTCCAATTCTTTCCATGTATCAATATAGTCAACGTTACTGAATTCTGAAAGAACATCGTGGTCTGGTCTTTTTGGCAAGAGCGCTCCTCCTTCCTGAAAACGGCAAACAATAATTTCCTTACCCAAACTGTTCAACACTTGGATCGTAAAATAGACTAAATTTAAATTTTAGTTTTCGATTACCAAAAAGAATATTCGTTTCATCAATTCATTGGTAGTAGAACAAAGGTCGAGAATGGATAATTAATAACCTTATATGAATACTGACGGAATTACATTTTTAAAACACTCGAACCAAATTCAAACCCTCTATGTACATACAGTGTCATTCATAAAGTCGGCATCATATAGGAAGAACTTTTAATAATTTCGACTTGGATCTCAAAAAATATGACAAATTGAAAATAATCACTAAAAATATGCTTATTTGTTTGAATTCCAAAAAAGTTTACGAATGAAAGTTGTTTCTACTGCAATTTTACACATTATCATATATGAATACACATACTATAATAATTTCAGTTGAATGGAAAAGGCTATTCCAGTGTTTACAAGTTAGGACTTTTAGTTATCTCAGCCAGGCGTTTGTGAATGCTTTAGTATTGAGCATGGCTTGTATATACATGATTCTAAAATAAGGATGCAAATATAGTTTTACATGGAATCAAATCAATAACACAGTATTAAATATCGAATTATGTAGTTAGAGCTAGAATATCAGTTGTCATTCTTTAGTCAGTAATAGCATCACCTACTATTCTGTGGTAAAAGTGGCAGGATCATAAAAGCATATCAATAATGTCAAAAGTCGTATACCTACTTTGAATGGTTGGTAACTCTGGATTAATGTAGTTTATTGGTAAAATATTGATTTATATATAAGGCCAGAAAAAAACATTAGAGGTTTCTCAAATGGCCAAATTATCCTCTAGCCCAGATGCAACATTTACCCTCCAGATCACCTCTTGAAAAGGCCTGTTCTAGCCGTAAATAAGCCGTGATGGCAACACTGAGTAAAACAGTTGCCAGCGAGCTCACGGTTTCAGTAGAGACTCCCACCACAGTGCTCCAACAGTGACATTATATGCGTAGAAAAGATGCATTTTGGATGCGCCTGGCGCACCATGTTATATTGTCACTACCCGAGTAGCAACATGAGTATCTATCATCAGTATACCTACCTTCTGAACCAGAAATACTCAGACGAGATTATTACCTTGAGAGCACATGGCCAGTGGATCAAGAACAAATCCAAGTAGTCCAGCCCTAAGTGGCTTAGGATCAGCCTAAGGTTGGGTTCAACTAGATCGGGTTTCAGGAATGTGCTCCACAGTTTGCTGGTGACGAAGAGGTCTGCCCTTTTGACTACCCCGCTCTGGATTTTTTCCTTGATAGCTGCCCCCACTTCGGCCTCATTTTGGTAGTAGTGGGCACAGTCGATGTGTCGGTATCCAGCGTCAATGGCGTCTTTGACTGCTTGAGTTACTTCACCAGGCTTAGACTAAGAACAACAAAAAATTCAACTTTCATTACGAGGAACATTATTCGAAAGAAAACTATAATTGCTTCCTCAATTTTCAAAATTTTCCAGAAAATTACGTTCTTTGAAAGAATCATAATTTAAAAAGCATCTATTTCAAATTATTGAACAGGGTGTCCCTAAAAGATCTGTATCTCATCCTGGGGTCGAAATAAGCCAATTCAAAGCAACTCACTTCAGTAAATTTAAAAAATGAAAATCGACAGTACGCTCCAGAATATCAATTTGAAAAATCATTTTATCGAGCATTATCATCATCATCAAATTTGCACACTGCTCATTCATTGACCAAATTATATCTACGAAGATAACAGCAAACATTTTTCGTTCAAAATAATATATATATTGCTGTGCGGCATCGAACACTAAAACCCGAAAAATTTCGAAAACGACTTAGGTCAGCGAATTTTCACCAATGTACCTTTTTTACTTGAAAATATTCAGGAAATTATTTTCTCAACAAAATAAGTAAAAAACTACACTGAGAAAAGAGTCATGGCCATTCTAACCATGAGAAGTGCATTTGGTGAGCGCTCTCTAATGGTCACACTGAAAAAGTGTCCGTATTCGGATTTCACATCCCAAAAAGCCCTCGGCTACCAATTTTCAAAAATTTTCATACATTTTGAAAAATTCGATTTTAATTTTTGTACTTTACGACCCTTGGATGAGATAGGTTGCTTCAAACCAGCTTATTTTGAACTCAGGAATATGTGCTGAGATTTTGTACAGGCCTTTTAGGGACACAATGTAGATACATTTTCATAATAATTGGTACCTATTCTGTCTCTTTCTTTATTCAACAATAAACGATAACCCATAACCCCCCTTCCAAGAAAATAAAATAGTACGAGTGCCCCTGATGAAGCTATTGAAATTTCATATTATTTAAAGCCGATCTCTGCTTGATAAGAGAAATCATTTGACCAAAATTTTTCGGGATAATAAATATATCACTGTTTTATGGGACTGCTGAATTTTTACAGCTACTTTTTTTACCGAGTATTATATTTTGTTATAATACCGCAAGAGATCAAAAGTTATATGGGCCTTCGCCAAAAGTTGTTATTTATTTTCTAAATAAGAATGAGAGGTTGAAGCTTGTAAACTAAATATATGAATACCATTAGATAAGATACTATATTAAGTAGGTACCTATCAGATAAATAAGAAAAAGCAGACGAAAATCCTGAGCATATATATAACTATGATGTAATGAGAAAATTAATGTTCTCCCTATTGAATAAAGAAGTAAGTATATTTGAGATAATTACCTTCCATGTCCCTAGACCGAGTACAGGAAATTCGAATCCACTGTTTAGTTTTACAGTAGGTGCTCTCGCCATTTTTTCTATTTCCACGTCTACTACTTACTGAATATTTTTAACTAGAATATCGAATATATCGTGATACTCACTTATATTCCCGAGGTCATCAGTATTTGAAAATAATTTTCGAGAGATCGCCGTGTTATCTGAATTGAATAACTTTGAGAACTCCTGAACAAATCAGATAAAGTCAAAAAATACTTAGTTGATAACTCGAAAGAGATTCAATATTTTATCTACATTCTCGTGTTCAAATGAACGTTACGAAATCTCAACCAGATTTTATTCAGAGTGCTATTGCTATGTTTAATTTACTAGAATAACCTTGAATTTAATCATTAAGAACATAGGCGGATAATATGTTTGGCACTTTCAAGGGATTTTACAAATCATTGATCCAACGTTGAACGTATTAGTTTTTTTCTGGTATTTTATGAAAAATGTCCTTCAGACTTTTATTTGCTCTAAGCACTCTCCGATTGGAGTTTTGATGATATTCTGGCCATATTCCTAACACTTATCCACCATCAAGTTCAAAATTGAATAATCAATAGATGCGTGTTCGTTTACCTTCTTTTCTTTTTTCACTATTTGTATACAGGATGATTCCTAACTTATAACTGAATGGAGAAAATGAATTTCAGATTCCACATTCAACTATTTGAAAAAAGAGGGTTCCATTTTTAATTATCATGCCATATATTTATTTTCAATTGAAAAAATCAACTTCAAATAGGTATACGACGCACTATTATAATTGAATAGAATCCACTTTATAGATGCAGCAAAGCTTTTTAATGACTGAAAAGGTATACTTTCATGTCTGGGCAGAAAAAGTTCTGCCTAGGTAAGGTTTGTTAGTACCTATGCAGTATGCAACGTTCCAAGTAATTTGAATTGAATTGGTAATCGAAATTGACAATGACTTTGGGCGAACAGAACATGATGGATAATTTGGACTTTGCGTGAAATTGAAACAAAAAAAAGAAAAATTATATGTTTCACATGGTAGAAAAGAATATATTCAATGTCTTTTGGCTGGTTTCCTAGCCTCAGTTACGCTTTGGCTATGAAACGCCAGCCGCGGCATTAAATCTTGTGCTTTTCCGCCTAGTGAAACAAATCACAAATCCTGCGTTGTTCATGCGAAATAATCTCGGGACCCAAAAAACAGCAGTAACTTTTTGAATTCATTTTCATTATTCATCATCTATGATTTTTGTGCGTGCAAGTTGATAGATTTAAGAATCACCTTGTAGGTAAACACTTTTTATGGAATGCCAAAGAATCATGAAATATTTTTTATTTTAGAAGAAAATTTAGAACTAAAATTGTGAAAAAATAATACGAGTGATGTCAACTGGAAGTGACATGGCTTCTGTTGATACTAAAAATGTGTAATATCTTCAGTTCACTAGTTTTCTCACTCAACAATAATTAATGATAAATATAATATCGAGTGTTCAAATGAAGGGTGTGTATAGTACGAAGGAAGCGAATGTGTTTGTAAATCGATGTATTCAAAGATTGAAACCACATATTTGTACATTATTATATGATAATAAAACTTCAGTAACAATTTTGTTTGTCTTCCAACTTGACGGGCACATTTCAAAATTCATCTTTGACGAACGGATGATCCTTGTGAGTAAATGCACTGAAAAAAAAAGAAAAAAATCAGATACATGAATAATAATTAGATGTATAATATACAAAAGAGTTCGCTATCGTGGGAGTGAATTGGAAATTCTTCTGGAAAAAAATCAATCATTAGTTAATTATCCCAATGGATTCTTTAGAATTCGAAGAGATTTCCGACCAATCTTGCCTTCTACCACAAGTCACTAATGATATGGCTATGAGTTTCCTCGCTTTTCCGAAATTCAGAACCTTGCCTCAAGAATCACGGAAGATACAGTGGTCTTCCATCAGAAGGGAAATACACTGATGACACATAACATATAAATCATAACAAACTGAATCTCCAGCGTAAAAAAAGACTCAGACACTTACTCATCATACGGACAAGTCCTCCCATTACAATCGAAAGTGTTGATGAGATCGATATCTTCCTGGCTCAGAGTGAAATCCCATATTTCGAAATTCTGCTGGATCCTTGACTTGTTAACAGACTTGGGGATGGTGATGCAACCCCTCTGCACCTGGTACTTCAACACCACTTGCGCGGGGGTCTTATTGTACTTCTTAGCGATCTGACTGATCTTGGCATCGTCAAGAAGCTCAACGTCTCCAGGCTTGGCATTCGGCCTATCACGGGAACCCAGAGGACTGTAAGCGGTGACCACGATGTTCTTGGACTTCAGATAGTCGATCAGCCTCTGTTGGTTCAAGTACGGGTGGACCTCGATCTAGAAAAAATGGTAATACAGCAATGGTTATATCTTCAGTAGAGTATATTATGGTAGGTACCTGGTTGGTAACTGGTGGAATGGTGGAGTTCTGGAGGAGGCGTTCTAGTTGCCTCTTGTTGAAGTTTGACACTCCAATGGATGTGGTCAGACCTTTCTTTTGTACTGCTTCCATAGCCTTCCAGGTGTCTACGTAATCCGCGTCACTGTACGCGACTGTACCATCTGGGTTTGTAGGGAATAAGGCACCATCTTCCTGAATAAGTAACACAAATGATTATCCATAGAAATTTCAATTTGTCTGCTATTTGTATAGGTACTAGGTGGGATCTTCTCGCTTACCTTCAGAGCGAATGGCCAGTGTATCAGATACAGATCCAAGTAGGCCAGGCCCAAATTTTTGAGGGTCTCTTTCAGAGCCGGTTCTACCAGATCGGGACGGTGCATGGTATTCCACAGCTTGCTGGTGATGAACACGTCTTCTCTTTTGACGGTCCCGTCAGCGAATTTTGCAGCTAGGCCTGCACCGACCTCTTTCTCGTTGCCATAGACGTGGGCGCAGTCGATATGGCGGTAGCCGATGTCAATGGCGTCTTTGACAGCCTGAGTGACCTCACCAGGTTTCGACTAGAAGATCCAGAAAAAATATAAGTAAAGGTTGCCAGGTGGCATTCGGCATTCGCGTTCATTGCGGGGACGTTAAACGCCTTATTGGGGTATAAATGCTGAGATGCGTCTTTGATTCACGTAAATATTTTCTTTTTCAGGGAAGATACAAGTGTTTCAGGAAAGTATGGATTTTTTAAAATTGGAGAACCTACATGAACTAATCTATTAAAAACTCGAAGAGCATCTATAAATTGATATGATTCACTTCCACCCCGTTCATTTAACATTCACTAGCAAACAGAAACCTCAGTTAAGTACTAAAAACAAACAAAAATCAGGCCTCTAGATGTACCTAGTCAATAATGGATATGCCCTCCGCGAACTTGAATTACAGTATTCAATCGCCCTGGCATTGAGTTTATCTAACTTGTCAAGCAGTCTTGACTTGAGGATTCACCTCAAATGTTCCTTGAAGGGTGGGTCGTAGCTCTTGAATTGTCTCTGACAAGACCGGACGAAGGGAAATGAGCCTCTGGAGTTCATCTCAAAGATGTTCTATAGGTTCTGAATTATTGTGATAAAAAATCAAAAAATCCATACTTCCTTAAAACACTTGTATCTTCTATTGAAAAAAAGATATTGGCATTAATAGAGAACCATTGTGTTGAAAAGGGACACACTTCCTTCTAAAACATGATGAAGCAGATGATTGGAGAATGGTTCTGAATTATTGTTAATGAAAATTTCAAAAAATCATACTTGAAACACTTGTATCTTTTTCAAAAAAGAAAAGATATTGACGTGAATCAAAAACCAAAAAGGGATCATATACTTTAATGGGCTTATATCACAACAAATTTTTATTCCATAATTCGATAGAACTCACCCAAACTAGCTCACCACAGCAAACCGTTTATCGCTGTGAGCTCCCTACGTTTTATAAAAAATTATTGAAATCCCCGATTTTTCTGATCTCTGAAAACGAGGCGATGATGTGACGTCAAAACCCTAATACTGAAACAGGACTATTCCAGACAGAGATGAATGATACATGATTTCTGGCAGAGTGAATTAGCGGGAGATCACAGTTGAAAGAATTAATATATCAGTTGCCTCAGTCTCCTAGGTTTGTTAAAATGTATCAGTAATTCTTGGTTGATTGGTGTTTTGCAAATTTAATCATTGATAAACTATTTGCTATTCATGTGTATTGATTCATTTGCTTATCGACCAGTTGTTTGCCCTGTCTTGATAATAATTCAAAATTCATGACTCGCTTATCGAGCAAACAATGTTAATTAGTAACGGAAAAATTCTAAGAACATTCCAATAAGGTATGCTATTGAGAAGTAATGATGGGGTCCCTAGGTAATGCAATTCTCTGGGCCTCTTTCCTTTGCCCTTTTTCTATTTACAGCGATTTTCTACAGTTTTCTACAGCTATTTTTAGTATCATATAAAATACCTATTCCATAAAATGACAACATGCGTCAAAAAAAGGAATTTAGAAAGTATGAAAATTTTACAAAAACAAATCGTTCGATGAATTTTTTATTTTTTGGCGTGATCCACCTTATGGATAATTCGGCATCCGGCCCTGATTCTCCTTGATAAATATAATTGTGTACGTCATTAGTCCCTAGCAGTAGAAGCTAGAATGTTATCATATTCTCCATATATGCGCTAAGGATAAACGGCCATTTCAGGATGTTTTCTTTTAAATTATGAGAATCTGACTTGACTATTTTTGGAAATAAGTAATATGGAGTGTTCCAGAAAAATTCTTGGTCTCCGTTTTAGATTCATTATTGATTCATTTTTGACATACCTGTCAACAATCTGCATAAAAATATTGAAAGAGTATTGAAAAATAATTTATTGAATACCACATAATGTTACCGAATTTTCTCAAACTTGTCTGCTGTCGAATTATTGTCAATTCATCTTCACATATTCAGATAACTCTATATTTTCGGATGAAATCTAAAAGATCCTGAGCAATTTGCAAATTAGCTTCATCGCATAAGTACCCATAGGCACCGAACATAAACTATGTTTGGTGCTATAGGTACCCACCTAATTTTGATATATTTTATGGCATTCATTGGGTATATGACTAAGATAATAACTTGGATGAAATTCGGATGATAAAAAACAGTGACCTTCATTTTATTTGCTCAGTTCTCAAGTTACATAATTTTTTGTTATCTGCCACGTTATTAAATTACCAACAATTGATCGATTCATTAGATTTTAATTCTTGTGAAGTAAGAGTATTTGATAATTATCATATATTGATTCAGTTTTCTACCCAGTTTTATCGAGGGCTACAAAGACATTCTATATGTATGCCAATGGCGAAAAAAGATCGAATGGCAGTCTACTAGAAATGACCGGAAAAACAGTATTTACCTCACCGCCCGATCACCTACTTTGTTGCTCGCTGTACTCCTTTATCGCTTTAGGGCCATTAAGTATTACTTTACGCCCGGTCGTGCATAATAGTTTTTAATGTGTGAAGAGCGTAAAATAGACGTTTATGGACTATAGAGTGTAAGTATAAGAGCCCGAGCAGGTCAATAAAAGCTATAGTTACGTTAATCTCTCAAGAACGATGTCAGCAGTAATTAATATCATTGATGGAATCATAGATATGGAATCAATATGTTATAACTCAGTCAAATTTTTGAAATAGAAGTAGACTAGGTATTAGATATATTATTTGCTGTCAATTGTTAATCACAGATAACGTATTTTGGGCTCGATTATATCATTTTGCATCTCAGACATTTTAAGAGAACTGATGTTATAGTAGATAATGAACCATCACAAACAAAAGATAAAGGTCCTGAATTATACAGGCATGCTTAAACGAACTACCTTCACGCCGGCCGATAAAGTTGGCCTTGGACGATAAAGTGCCACTTTTCGTCCGCGAAACCGGGCGGTAAAGCGCTACTTTACGACCGGACGTGTATACAATATATCATCAGGTTCAAGTATCCTGGGGCCTTCTAATAACCCCTGAATCCGGCCCCGCCTTCAACAGCCTTCAATTATTTGCTGGTCGCCGGCCGGTGCTATCAGTGGTTCGATGTTCGATCGATAATAATCACAGCAGGTTACGCTACTGAGCCGCTATATATAATATTATTTATTTCAGGCTATACTTTGAATTTGAAACTAGAGTCTAGACTCACCTTCCATGTTCCCAGACCGAAAATCGGGAACTTTTTTCCGTTGTTGAAAGTTACTGTGGGAACTCGGCTCGCCATGGCTGAAAACAAGTGAATAAATTGATGATGATGTCGGAGCTCGGAACACGCGATGTACAAGGCCGAATTATGATTGTACAAACGTTTTTGATACCCCTTCCCTTGCTCGTTTTTACTAACAAACTTATGGAACTTCTAATAGCGGCTTTCTGTCTTGCTATCGCGATTTCAGAGCTGTAAAATTATTGTATAGGTAGTTCAGTGGATTTCGTCAGGTGTTGCCAGTGATGTACACCATTTATAAGGAGGTCTGCTACTGAACAAACTGCATCTATAACATTTCTGATTTTCAAGATTACGAATTTTCAACAGCTGGAAATACATCAAGTTTTTGATTATTTTATTGATCTCAAGACCTCATCAATTAACTACACCAAAGTTTCAACATACTTTTTTTTTCATTCAGGATATCATTCACATACCTATACCACTATACAGGGTGTTCCTCAAAGACATATGCTGATATTTGAGGGGGTGACTCATTTTAAGAAGTAAACTTCACATGAACGAGTGTCATAAAAGTCTTAACTTTTGAGATACAGGGTGATGAAGTTTTGAAAAATGTTCAGTTTCTTGATAATAACTGAGACAATATTGTATACATCTTCATGAAATTTGGTACCAGTGGCACCGTTACGGGAATTTTATTGTTTATATTTTACTTAAAAGTGAGCAGCGACGGAAAATTTTCAAAATTCGTACAATGCTATGAATGGCTATTCAACAAAATGTACCTACAAAAAAGATACTCTTGTTGATACTCGATAGAACGCTTCGTTTCAGAGAAAAAACGGAAAAACCAGACCAGACTTCAAATTTTGATGTCTCAGTATACTCCATTCAGAACATCCATCACTGGACCACATTCAGTCACATATAAGCAGACTGAATTTTGCCATCACGAAAAGATACAGAGTGGAGAAAAAAGAATTCGACATTAACAACCTGTATCTCAAAATTTAGGACGTATACGAGATATGTTCATATGAAGTCTAATTCTTGAAATGGGTCGAATAATCGGCCCCTTGAATATAAGCATATCATTAAGGGACACCCTTTTTTTTTAATCCAAGGTAGGTGGCAGAAATAGTTATTTATACACCAAGGTAGAAAAAAATATCATTATTACTCTGAGGCTTCAGCAGAGGGGTATAAAGGTTCCGTGGTGATAATATTCTTCACTATACCAAGGTTTATATTACATTTCTTTCGCCACTTTCAATATATTTCAATCATGTTAGTTATGTGAAACCGATATATGGACCTAGGGTCACTATGACAGCACTTATTTTCAATACTTAGCCATGATCATGACTCAAGTCGTTATTGATAAATACCTTGATAAATACCTTTACTAGATTCGAGTGTCATTCCTGCGAATATCTGATCAGAACAGTAGATTCGGGTTAACTGAAGCAGAGGTGGTCATAAAATTACGAAAACTACCTTGGTAGTAAAAACACATTTTACGACTCGAAAGGCAGTAAATAATGGTAGGTTTTATAGCTAGTGCTGGAAAAACATGCACTATTAAAAACTGATACAAGTATATCGAACACTAACATATTTTTTTTATCGCTTGGAGCGCACGAAAGGGAATCCCTATAATGTTCAAAGAGCATCGTGCGTTCCTAGGGAGGATAGGGACAGGAGGTAGGTATTGGATTTTTTTTTTAACTTTTGGAGATTATATGTTGTTGGGAATACTTCCACAGGCAATGAATTCCAGAGCCTAGCCGTTCTATGGATGAAGGAGTCTTGATACAGTGCTGTTCGACATCTTTCGAGGTTGACAACGATGTGCTGACTGGGCTTGTCTAGTTCGTCTGATTGGTATTGCTAGTGTCGAGGCGTTTAAACAATTCGTTTGATTAGTGGTGAAACAGTGTAACTGATACAAATGTCAATTTTCTACAGTATCAACCGAAGAATAAAAATCATTGTCTCTACTCGATCATTTCGACTTTACTTTCAATTGAATACTGTCTGTCTGTTATATGAACAGTTTTCATTGATTTTAATAGAATTGTTAACGCATTTCATTGACAGAAGGAACTCGACTTATATATCTACAATCTACATCATTGAATTAAAAAAAAATGGTTGATTCTCTCGAAGCAGAGAAATTATTCTTTTTGAACGATGAATTGAAACAGCACCGTTCACAGTATTATCACTTCTCCGATCAATATGGCAGATGATTCTTTTGTCAAGTTTGTTGCTCTTTTATCTCACCTCGTATACGATTTCTCGTTTCAAATTTTGATTGTTTGGAATTTGAATTTTATTGATAAAAAATTACGAGTGGTGCCTGTATACAGAGTTTGTGAATAATAACAAGGTTTCAACTTTTGCGTTGAAAAAGAAACAATATATTTTTTACAAATAGTAACCAATGTTTGCGATCATATACAAGTAGTGGAAAAGTGTGCAACAATAAAGTAGGTATACAAATAAAAAAAACACCCCTAAAAACAATATTACTCATTCATCACATTCAGGTATCGTGGGAGGTATGGAGATAGGACTATTTGGTGAACCAGCGTATTCCAGAAGCACTTCAGGTTTCAAAGGTTGCGCATGCGCGTCTTCGAATTCCTCTTCTTCGGCTGAAACGTTTTCTTCCAGATGCTTCTCCAAAGCTATCAGCTTCATCTGGAAATACCGTTTTTCTTCGTTGATACATGCCAAGTCTTTCTCTTGTTCGGCTATGACTTGTTTCAAATCGGCTATTTTGTTAATATCTTCTTGCCTGGATTCTCTTCTTTCGTACCTCTGTCTTACTTCTTCGAATCTGGAAAAAAACGCAAAAATGGACATTGGTATTGATTGTGGATCATGAGGAGTGTTAAACACTCACAACTTCGTCAGACATTGGCATTTTTTTTGTAAATGGTCAATAGTTTCTTGTGATTGTTTCTGGGAACTCAAAAATTTTAATCGATAAGTTTCACTTTCCTTTTCATGTCCTTCTTGTAACTGTGCTAATGTTTCTAGAAGACCCCTAAAAAAATCATTTTCACCCGATATACTTTAGGACTTGGTAATTACATGTGAAGAACACATTACAAGATGAATATTCTATTACCAAAAGTATATAGGTATAATAATGATGACAGAGTATTATGAGGTTAGAATATCATACCATACTAATCTTACTTTATTTTTTGATCGGATTCTCTCCTAGCTTTAGCTATATCTTCACATTGTTGTGCAATTTCTTGGTTCAAAACTTGTACTCCTCCTTCCAGAGTATCCACGTTATTTTGCAAATCTTCTATCGTGGATTCTTTACTCTGCAATTCGTGTTTCAAGGAATCAATGGTTTTCAACAGCTCCACTTCTCTGAGGCTATGCGATTTTTGTTGAGTGTAAAATTGCTCTTCCAGAGTTCGATATTTGGAAATGTATTCTTCTTCGAGTAACTGGATAGCTTCGCTTTTTTGGTGAATAAGATTGTCCCACTGTTCATCTTCAAGAACATTTTAGTTAATATAGATGAGGATTCAGAATTATACTAGATATTGAATATATTGTCACTAATCTCTTTGCATTTTCTGCACCATCATTTTAAAGGAAAAAAATTGGGATGGATTATGATTATGGATCAACGAGAGTATAGGTAAATCTTGGGAAAGGTGACAAAAACAGCACTAGAACTAGAACTGCACGATTGTTGTTGAACTAACCTAATTGAGTCCTGTGTTGTTCGATCAACCCCTCCATTTTTTGCTGAGATTCCTTCTCCATTTGTTCTTTCACTGCCTCCAGAGAGATTCTCAAAGAACTTATCTGAGTTTTCCAGTAATTTTCAGTTTCTTGAACTCTCATTTCGTGTTCTAGGTTTATCCGATCTGAAAATTTAGATTCCTCAAATCACAGACATTGCTAGATGATTTGGAGAATTAACATATTCCAGGAAGCAAATTATATTAGTTAGGCACACTGCCAATGAATGGAAGACATAGATAATGGAAAATGGGTATATATTTCTACAGTAAAATTGTTACCTATTTCACTATCATGTTCTGAAACTAACTTTTCATATTTTTCGTGATGCATCATATCTATTTTATCCATCAGTCGCCTTAGTTCCATCAATTCTCTGTCGGTTTCTGTTTGTTGGCTAACCATTTCTTCTTTGTAATGTTTATCTTTTTCAGCTAGAGATTTCTTCAAAGAAGACACCTATAAAGATGAATTCCAAAGAATACAATGTACCTTTATAGTTCAATGAATTTGACAATAATCTCATTAGAAGTATCAATTTGCTGAATTTGTGCCTGAAGCTGAAATTTATTTTTTCTACTATCGTAGAAGCGTGCAATATCAGGCTTTCATAGATGGTCATAGGAAATAGAAGTTTTTCTACGGCTATAACACAAAATTGCTCTTGTTTTACTGTGTTCGATAAATCTATGAGGTACTCTGTACGTCATCAGTCATCATTTCCGTATCTGATAAAAAAGTCTCATCGCTCATGGAATGTCAAATTGCAAGCAATGTCTAATAGATGAGCATGACTTGACAGGAAATCAGATGGCTACAAGCCGAAGAAATCAAAAATGCCGCTGTTATCTATTATAGCCGTAGACAAATTATAGTGTATAACTTGCACGGAATGCTAATTTCCTACTCGAATTGTTGCAGCGTTCGCCTTTGGCTCATGATGCAAATTTCGTTCTCGTAGGAAATCACTATCATTCCATGCTCGTTTAACAATATACTATTACCTAACAAGTGCGAAAAGTAACTTTAAGCACGTGTTAGGTACTCTTTTAACCCTACAATGAGTGTGGAATTATAATGAAATAATTCCGGGGGTTTGTTTGGGTTTCCCCATAATTAATTTTCCACAGTTAAAAACCCTTCACTATTTTATCTAATGTAAAAGTTGTTGACATAACCTTTTTATCCCAATGACAATTATGTAATTTCTGATGTAAGGCTAATGATGGACATATGTATATATATCCGAAACATGTATGAATTTTCGATGTGTTAATCACATTGAATGTCGTGGAGATGACTTTGTGTATCATTTAGTATCTATAGCTATGTAATATCCTATTTCTCTCTGTTTCTTCCTCCATTCCTGGATGAGATTTATATAATATGACAATGATCGTCAGTTGATGGTCAATAGCTACAAAACTAGATTCAACCTACCTCTTTCAAACATTGTCCCAACTTTGTATCCCAATGTTTCTGAGCCTTCTGAAAAGCCTCATCTTTCGCTTTCCTCACGCTTTCCATTGCATTCCATTTTTCTTCGTCGTGTATTTGTTCCAATTCGACCTTCAATCTGCCACATTCATTGAGCAACCTCTCCTCCCAATACATTGCAATTTCCGTTCGTTTGTCGTTCAGAGTCTGTTTGAGTTGTCTCTCTTTGTCCAGAATGTCTTGATGGTGCATTCTCTGCATGTGCTGTAGATTCTCTTTCTCCATTTCCATTAGATTCCGGAGCTTTTTGGTTTCATTTTTTAAGCTCTCTTCGGTTTGCTTCATCTCTTCTTGTTGCTTGATAAGATTATTCATTGCTTCTTTTTGGCCTGTCGTCAAGCTACGTAGATTTTCTATTTCAGTCTCGTATACTTTAAGATTCTCCAGCTAGAAAATATAATATGGAATGATCAATTTCATTCTCCAGCGGGCTGTGGCAAAGAACTTTCATTTGTCTGTGATTTCTTACCTTTTCCGTCATTTCTTGAGCCTGCTTCATCTTTTCCTCGGCTGTTCTATAAGCTTCCTGTAGTTTTTCTTCGACAACTTTATCTTTCTCTTCTAACCGCGCCTTGCATTTTTGTTGTACTTCTCTCAGTTTCCACTCAAAATCATCTAAAGTTTCCTGTTCTTTCATTATATTGATAGTCCTCAGTTTCTCGAAGTCTTCCTTCCATTTTTTCTCTATATCTTGCCTCTGAATTTGGGCTTGCTCTAAGGTTTCGGCAATTTTTTTCTTTTCTTCATCTCTCTCAGTCAGCAGTTCTGTGTGCCTTTTTTCTAGGTGCTCTTTTTCTTCTCTCAGGGATTTCAGTTGGTTTTCCAAGTCATCTATCCTTATTCGTAATCCTTTGATTGTGTCTTCAAGTTCTTCTATTTTATATTTGGAATCGCGCTCAAAACTTTGAAATGCATCTGAAAAAATAGTTTGTTATACAGGGTGTCCTTAAAAGGTCTTTACAAAAAGCTACCACATATTCTTCAGACCAAAACAATTCGATACAAGCAAACTTACCTCAGTAAAAAGTTGCTTAGTTTGGGCGCTAGACGGCTCTGAAGTTGAAATTTTCAAATCGATTTTGCTTCATAACTTTTGAACGGCTCATGAGATTTTTTTCAAATTTGGTACGTTGGCATAGACTCATCGGGCAATGAAACTCATATCATAATCATAATGAATATCATTCCATGGGCGTAGAACTTGATTTTTTCAGGAAATAAACATCTAAAACTCCTACGCCAATGGAAAAAAGTTAGTTTCAATATGAAATCTAAATTATTCAACTCATTCACTACAAAAAAGGTACTCTTGACAAAAGTCGATTCCTCTCATGGTTTCGACAAAATTTTAATTTTAGTGATTTAGAGCATAATTAATAATAAACGATTAACAGATATTTCATAAAAATTGTTCAAAATGTTCACCATTTTCACGTATACAAAGATTTATACGACGCAAAAAGTTGAAATGTACTCTTTGCATAACTTCTTCATCGCCTGTAAGATTATTCGTCGCCTGTTGGATACGTTGCCATAATTGTTCTACAGTATTCACAGGGGTCTTGTAAACCGTAGACTTGAGATAACCCCATACAAAATAATCCATCGGTGTTAAGTCTGGAGAACGTGGTGGCCAATTCACGGGTGCATCATTACCTCTACCTATCCATCTGTCTGGGTACTGTTGGTTTAAAAAATTCCTAACATCCACCGAAAAATGTGGTGGAGCTCCATCGTGCATAAACCACATATCTACCCGATGTTGGAGTGGTAAATCTTCCAACGAATTTGGCAACGTATTTCGTAGATGTTGTAAATACATAACGCTGTCTTCCATAATCACCAGTTCTAGGAGCAAAATGACCGGTCTCCCGAAGACGTCTCTCAACGGCAGCAAAGGTTGGGTGGCTTGGTACGCGACGATTTGGAAACCTTGCCGAATACACCCTCACACTCTCTCGACCATTTCCTTGACAATATCCGAATACCATCAATAACATATCGGTGTATTCTTCATTGGTGTATTGTACGGCCATGATAAATCAGAAAAGTCCTATATCAACAATCAACGTCAATAAAACTCGACAAATCAGCACAGATGAAACTATGGAAACCAAGAATGTGAATATCACTGTTTTCGAGCAGATAATAATAGTCTTCAGAAAAAAAACCAGTGCTACTTATTTTCAATAGAAATAACCTATGCAAAAAGTACATCTCAACTTTTTGCGTTGTATAAATCTTTGTATACGTGAAAATGGTGAACATTTTGAACAATTTTTATGAAATATCTGTTAATCGTTTTATTATTGATTATGCTCTTAATCACTGAAATTAAAATTTTGTTGAAACCATTCGACCATTTGTCAAGAGTACCTTTTTTGTAGTGAATGAGTTGAACAATCTAGATTTCATATTGAAACTAACTTTTTCCATTGGCGTAGGAGTTTTAGATGTTTATTTACTGAAAAAAGCAAGTTCTACGCCCATGGAATGATATTCATTATGATTAGGATTTCAACTTTTTGCGTCGTATAAATCTTTGTTCACGCGAAAATAGTGAACATTTTGAAAAACTTTCATGCAATATCTATCAATCGTTTTATTATTTAAATATGCGCGAAATCACTAAAACTTAAATATTGTCGAAACCATCAGAGTAATCGAATTTTATCAAGAGTACCTTTTTTGTATTGAATGATTTGGGCTATCTAGATGTCATACTGAAACTGATTTTTTTTCATTGGCGTAGAAGTTTTAGATGTTTATTTCCTGAAAAAAATCAAGTTCTACGCCCATGGAATGATATTCATTATGATTATGATATGAGTTCCATTGCCCGATGAGTCTATGCCAACGTACCAAATTTGAAAAAAATATCATGAGCCGTTCCAAAGTTATGAAGCAAAATCGATTTGAAAATTTCAACTTCAGAGCCGTCTAGCGCCCAAACTAGGCAACTTTTTACTGAGGTAAGTTTGCTTGTATCGAATTGTTTTGGTCTGAAGAATATGTGGTAGCTTTTTGTAAAGACCTTTTAAGGACACCCTGTATAAGTAAATATAGATAATGATTTATTATATCCTACCTGTTTTTTCTGATATATCAGTACTCAGTTGACTGTTCATTCGTTTCTGATTATCTAATTCGTTTTCTAACACACGTATCCTCTGTCTTATAGTTTCGCATTCTTTCTGAGCAGCGCTCAGTTCTGATTCTAACCCTAGAATTAAAAATATTATAGATAACTTCCTGAATATGATATAACAATGAAATCTTACTATCCATTCCAGCGGATTTAGCAAAAACATCTCTCTGCAGTTCTTCCATTTGAAATTTGAGTTTGTTGGCCTCGGCATCTCTTATAGACAACTGTTTAGAAAGATCGTTGAGCTGACTCTGGAATTTTGCCTCTTGATTCACGAGATTTTTCCTGGAAAATATGAAAACATCTATCATTACTCAAATGAATCAATTTCAATCAAATTCTCCTCAGAATAATTAGCGAAAATAAAAGATATCCGACAATTATTTAAGGCTATTATAAAATATGGATGGCTATACATTATATAGACTATGAATACTATAGAGTACCTATATATAGAGAAGTTTTATAAATCTTTACCTATATTAGAATGAAATAAGAAGCAATAGAAGCAAAATAATGTTTATCTACAACTGTCAAGTGATGATTATGATTTGACACTATTTTCAATGTAATAATGACGTGAATTACCGCACTAGTGCTTTTTTGAATCTATTACCGCACTAGTGCTTTTTTGAATCTATTACTGCACTAGTGCGGTAATGAGATAAGAAATAAATTCCAACCAAAATGAATCGTTTGTTGAATGAACACAAAGAAAATTCAAATAACACTTGTCATCGCATTTTCAATATTGGATGATAGATCATCTTCCCTTGAAGCCATTTTCACTCAAGAAATTTAATGATGGTTCTGAATATCGATCTGACATTCAATTTAACATCTATGAACGGCTTTGTTTATATCTACCGTTGCTACGATTACAAAAATGATCACAGGTAACTTGTGGTTTCAATTATCCGAAATAGGTACGTCGAAGTGGAATATCAATGAGGTACCTACATTTAAAGATAGTTATTAAAATGTTAATTACGTTGTAGATACAATTTTTTACGCAACTCGTGGGATACTACATTATTAAGGAACTGATATTATTACACTGTCACGTTAATAACTATAATGTCAACTTCAGTTGACTGAGATTTTCATTTGCCAAGGTTTAGAATATGATATACTTCTTATAGTTTTATATTTATATATATTTACATTTATATTGTTGAACACTGTAATGCATATTCACGTATTTATATCGCAGATTTCCATGAATCCCTAACTGCCTAACAATTTCGTAAAATGTACCTATCAGATTATAATTAGAACACATATGCGAGTCTTTGATATCTTCATAATATTTGCATGTCCTGATTCGATATTTCGTAAATTTTCCAAAAAACTCGCCGATCTACCCGATTTTTTGACGTCAATCGTATCTATAACCTAATTTTGTTTCTAAGATGCAAGCAGGATGCAATATAACGTTCGCTCTGTGTTGAATCTAAATTTAAACCCCAAGTGGGTACACGTGAATCAGATCTACGTCAAATAACACTTCCTCTTATCTATATGACGCACGCAAAAACATCAAAGTATGAAAATTGACTCAAAGAACACTTTATAGTTCACACTTTCAAGCCCTAAGCTTGTTCATTCTCTGAAAATAAGTGATCGTTATTCGTTATATCCAGTTTTACTACAGTATCATATGACAATAAGCTAATTTAGTTAACTTTTTGATTAGTTTGTATATGTTTCGAAATAATAGCATACACCTACAAGGTAGGTATAGGTATGGTAGCAGCTAAATGTGGAGTTTCAAAGCTGATGTATTTTCCCAAAACTGAGTCTATGAAATAGGGTTCACAGGTGGCAATACCATACAATAATGGTACACAGAGCCTACTTACCTCATACTGAAGATGTTTAAAACGATAGAATTGTTCAGAAAGAGAATTTTATAAATTATACCCTCAACCAATCTCACCATAGACTTTTTTGTTATCTCTTGGAGCGCACAGAAGGAAATTCCTATGTTCGAGGAACATCGTGCGTCAGTAGGGAGGATATAGTAGGTGTAGGTTTTTTTTTTTACCTTTTTGAGACGTACTGAAACTTACTGAACCTATGAAAAGATCGCAAATAAGGACAAACACTCGCTTATTCATCTAAGATACCACTTATGAAAAGAAAACCAGAACTATAGAAACACTACACTGGTTCATCTATATGGCCAGAACCAACAAACAGACTGATAGTTGAAAGAGGTTGTAGGTATACTAATTTAGAGAATCTGAGTATGTATAGTTAACTGGGTATCCTTTAAAAACTAGTTCCATATTGTGGGTGGCAGTATAGAGAGGTGTTTCACTCACTGTGTTTATCTCTAGGCACCCCGAGGAGGCTAAACAACTCCTTAAAGACCATAACAGATACAATATGCCAATAAGGCTGCAGCGTTCGTTAAACTGGAACCAATCTGCCCCGCATGACAAATCATACCAGTATCTTGAACAACGCAGAAAATTCCCTATCACTCTCCAAGACCAGTATAGGCTCTTGGTATCATCTGCATGAACACTGTCAAAACAAATATCTACCTACGTATTATTCTGATCTTTGGCAGCAGGTGTAGGCAAACTGACGTGAAGCTTCAACCTCCCCGCGACCGTGTCCGTAACCCCCTTATCGTTGACTTTCACCGTGTTCACACCCTCCACGTCGTTAATTTTCACCGTGTTCTCATCCCCCATGTCGCTAACTATCACCGTGTTCTCACCCCCCATGTCGTTGGTCTTTCCTTGGGGGTGGCTAGTGACGTTCTCGATTCCGCTGATCCTGAAGTGTTTCCTGAGCTCCAACACGGGACTGGCGGTGGGGGTACTGTTGTTGGATCTGTTGGCTGGTGCTGGTGGTACTCTGGGTGATATGGGGGTGGTACCGTGCCCGCAAGGCTTCGCACCGAAGGGCGGCGGTTTTTTGGGGGTTTCGACGGGAATCTGGGACATGGTCGCGATGATGTCTGGATTCGCGTCGGTTTTCTCGGATTCTGTCACGGCACTAGTAGCTGCATTCGGCACATTTTTTCGCGGGACGGTTTCGGATTCCGAGAAATTGTTTGGCAGCGGTTCTGAGTCACTTTCAGACGCAGACTTGTTAACGATCTCATCGCGATTATTTTTACCTGGATTTTCACCTTGCTGGCTTTTGCTTTCTTTGTTTTGAAACTGGTCTCTGTTCTTTTTGTCTGAGTCTTTTTTAGATTTCTTAAAGAAACTGAACATTTTTATTGTTGCTCGAATGAAGGCAAACAAAACGAACTACACATTTTAGAAATGTTTCGAACTATTTTCACGCCTAGAAATTCCGATGAGTTTAACGCTGTGGAGGTTTCAAGTATACTGAAAAATAATCGCAAGACTGAATTCTGTGTTAAATTTAGAAAAGACTTCAAGTTTTTTATCACTTTTTATTCGAATGGCTTCTCTGGATATTTTCAACTCGACATTATTTCGTACTTAATATTCTTTATTCACGACTAATATATTATACTTGTGGTTTTTGAAGTATAATGCCATATATTAATCCCGCAGGGAATAAAGACTATTAATCCCTCGCCATTATTCCCTGCGGGATTAATATATGGCATTATACTTCAAAAACCACAAGTTTATATATTAGTCGCAAATAAAGTAGAGTATACTACTCGCAATAATGGCTATTATTCTCTCGGAATGTTACTCCCTCGCCGCTAACGCGGCTCGATTCGTAAAAAATCCTCGAGAATAATAGCTATCATTATTGACTCGTGGTATAATCTACTATTATTGTTGCGTTATTAAACCACCCACTGACCGATGTGGTGAAGTTTTGATGCAGCGTAAATCGAGCGAAAATTTTGTGTGGAAATTGAAAATATGAATAATAAAATGCTAGAGTTTGGTAGGGGTGTACGAAAATAGATCGCAAGACAGTCAACTCGAAACATAATTTTAGCATTCTGTCCTTGTATCATGGTGGTTCCTCAGTTTGCACAATATTCTTTTGATATCTCAAGAACTCTCAAAACTAAAGTTTTTTTTTAAGAATTGAAACTCGAAATGGATTAAAATTTTAGTCATGAAATTATCTGATTCAATCCTAGTGTGTTACGTTTAAATTAACATTCTATCTTCTCAGCCCGAGATAACTTGAATTGATCAAAATAATTTGAATTGATTCTTAAATTATATTCATGGAATATATCATGAATATACAGGGTGAGTCATGAGGAACTGTACACACTCCTACCACGAATAGAGGCCCTCGAGGGGAACACCTAATGACCATCAGAAAGTGTCTTATTTTCTTCTTTACCAATATATAGGGTGAATTATGAGATTTGGCAAAACATCTTTTGGACATAATTTTTCGAAGGCTCCTTCGATTCGTCTGATTTTTTCATGGCATATTCCTCTACTGAACCCTAATCGACTGACCTACTCAGAATCGAAAAAATCCAGGACCGTTTTTGAAAAATTTCGATAGTTTAGTTTTTATCAAAGAGTTCGTTCTGTGTATGGTTTTTGTGAACTGTGACAAAGAGTTTTCAAAGCACACAAACGAGCATCAAAAATCAAATATTCGAAAGTCTCCTCACACTTTCACAGAATTTTTCAAAAAACGATAAATTATAAGCAAAAACGAAAGTTTGACAACAAATTTTATTCATTCGAAAATAATTACTTCGCAACGCATAAATTTCACAAATAAAAGTGAGACTCACATTTTCAATGCTTTAGCCCAATGAAAATCAACATGTTCTTTCATTTCCAGGCCTGGATTTCATCATTCCATTTTTTGTAGAGGGTAATAATCACCCTGTATATGTTTGGATGTTGATGGTGATCCATTCAACTAACTCGAAATAGTCGAACAGAAAATAAATATTTACTCTCAATTATTTTTCAAAAGCTATACTGACAAATGCCGATAATAATAAATTATAGTAAGGAAAATAAGTGATCAAAATATCTGAATAAAACAAATCGAATAGATTATCAAACTGTGGATTGAAATCATAAAATTATTTATAGCGATGGCCATCAATATTTTCACATATACCTCATCCACTGATTCGAAAGAGATCTACAGGATGATTATTATCCTCCACAAAAAAATTGAATTACTGAATCCAGGCCTGAAAATTAAATGATATGTTGATTTCCATTGAGCTGAGGCATTGAAAATATAATTCTCACTTTTATTCGTAAAATTTATGGGCTGGGAAGTATTAATTTCCAAATAAATACATTTTTTGGGAAATTTTTGTTTTTTTTTATAAAATTTATAGTTTTTTACAAACTGCAGTGGAAGTTTGAGGAACATTTGAAATATTCTATTTTTGATGTTTGTTTGTGACCTCCGAAAATTCCCTGTCACAGTTTACAAAAACTATATACAGCATGAACCTTTTGCTATAAACTAAACTATCTAAATTTTTCAAGTACGGTCCTGTGTTTTCCCGATTCTGAATGAATCATTCGATTAGAGAGCAGTAACGGAATATTCCATGAAAAAAATCAGACGAATCTAAGACGCCGTTGGAAAGTTAGGACCAAAGATGTTTTGCCAAATCTCATAATTCACTCTAAATATTGGAAATGAAGTGTAGAAGACACTTTCTGATGGACATTGGGTAGGTATTCCCATAAGGGGCTTTTATTCGTAGTAGGATAGTATGTACAGTTTCTCATGACTCACCCTGTATATTTATCAAATTAGAAGGAACAACTCATTCGAAATATGCAATAAAATATAGGTCTGTTTCATTTGAAGAAACTACACTTTTTCAAATTCTCCATAGCAAGGAAGAAGGAAGAAAAGAAGTCGAGGAAAATCTTTTTCTCATTCAAAATCCCCGTATACATGAGAACTGATGCCTAAATAAAGTGAGAACTGAGAGCTATTCTCAACCTAAATGGTAGCAGTTATCGGGATAATTTAGACCGATCTTGTTTTATGATTTTGTAAACCATGAAGATTATACATAAATAATTTGATGAGTAATTTATAGTCTTGTTATTTCTGACCGAACCATACCAAACTACGTCACACCAACCTGCACTTCATTGTTCCTACTTAGTGTAAATATAGGAGAAACGTATTTGCATCAAAATCTATTTTGGCTTTGGTCATTTGGAACATTCCAAAAGGGTCATTATTGTTTGCTTTCTATTCATAACAATGATATGAAATGGCTACAAAGCACCTTTGTATAGAAAAATGGTCATGTGTGTGGTGTGTGTGTTTTAGATGTGCCAGGAAATATATATAGTGAGTCCAAATCCCACGCGTAGCAATCACATCTTTTCTGGCTATCCTCTGGTAGGAATTTCCTGTGATTTTCGGAAATCTTGCGGACTGGTTATTCGTGAAAATCAAATCATCTGATTTCCGACAAAAATCGATTTATTCCATGAAACTATAGATGAGAAGATTAATGTTTTTCCTTATAGCCACATCTAGCGCTCTACCGTGTGTTTTTTTCGTTTCATAAAATCTTGCGGACTGGATATTTTTTGGAATAAAATCATAATGATTCTCACAAAATTCAGATTTCTCCCTAGCTTCAATGGGAAGTACTTTATTACCCTTATGTTTTTTCACAAAATCTAATTCTAAATAAAATCTAGTCACCATGACAGCATATGACAAGTATATAGATATCAATAAATATATACCTTCTAAATTCGAGTGGGACTCCTGTGAATATCGCTTCAGAACAGTGAATTCGGATTAATTATAACAGAAATGGCTATGTCTTTATTGACTATAGACTATATAGTGGTTCATAAAATAACGAAAACTGCCTTGGTAGTGAAACACACTTTTCGCCTTCGAAAGGAGTAAAATAATGATAGGTTCTATAGCTAGTGGTGTAAAAAATCTATCTACCTAATTAAATGACAAGATAAATAGTTTTGAAAATTTTTTCCTAACCCCCCTGGGCAGCACGAGTTCACTCGTGTGGATTTTTCATTGCAAACTATTTTTTTTTTCCTTTCCATAGGATACATAGATTCCTTCGATATCCAAGATGATTTTATATTTCAAAAAACATACAGACTACAAGATTAAATGACAAAACACACCTCATGGTGGCTATGGAATTATTTTCAAAACTTTCTTTTTTTAAATTTAATGATAATAATGATTTGATATACGAAATACTCAGTCTGCCTGATTAAATAAAAAACAAACGAGTATACGTAATCACAGTCATCTTTAGTATTCAGCATTTGGTGCGCTATGGATGAACACACACTGAACAAATTGATAATTTTGTGGTAATTTTCCCAGAATTTTCCAATAGTCGATTTACATAGTTTACTTGGCAGTATGAACTAATACCCTGACCTCTAATTCTTGTCACACTCAGACTAATATTTCATTTGACGCGGCTCACTCAAATATTCTCAAAGTAAAATCCATTTAAATCCTGTTCGTCTGATGATTTTTTAAAATAAATAAAGAGTTAAAATTAGTTGCGAACTATATGCACAAGGTTAACAATAACAGTTCAGAAAAATAAACATGTTGTATTCAAAAATCCACTTAGAAAATGAGAAGTTCATCCATTTATGTAATGCTATAGAGTTTAAATTAGATTTCAAGTCTACTCGTAATATTCTTGAACCCACCGATCGTTAACACCTGGCTGATTGAACAATTTAATGACCCATTAGGTACCCATTGGCAGTTCAGCCAAATCACAAATAAATTGATGATTTTTAACACCTCATAACATTAACTCAACAGACATGAAGTTTGCTCAATATTGGAATTGAACGAGCCAGATGTAGGTAAATATAATTAAAATCACGTATTTAAGCATGCAAAATAGTGCTCTTTATAAAAATTTTGATATATTGGGCAATGAATCTAATTTGGTTCCAAGAGTTTATGCAGTGTACCAAATTCCAATATTCTATTGTATACTGAGTCACACAGGGTATGGGGATACCCCTGTAACGTCTGCACGCTTCTGCATTTGTAAACTGATTTTTCTGAAATTTGGTTTTTTTCTGGAAATGTCAGAAAATTCGTTTTTTTTTAATGGAACACCCTGAATATGTTTTTTATATTCAAGTTCAACAAGTGAAAACAACTGAAATATATATATCAAATGTCATTTTTTCGAAAAAATTTAAATTCAAAATTGCTGTTTTATCTTATCTGTTGGATAACGAGATGGGGTCAAGGCTATTTTCAATGAGTCCCACATACTATTGAAACATAATTT